CCTGTGCGCTCCGCGCCGGCCTTATAACGGGCAGTTAGCGGGCAGGGTCTTCTCTGAATTCCTTTGTTGCGGTTTTAAAAGTACATTTTATTCCGCCTTTCCTTCCGAGCGCTCGAATTTTCTGCAGAAAATGCCTGTAGAGACAACTTCAGAACGCCTAAAAAAAAAATAAATAAAAAAAAAGAATGATTGGGGTCTTGAATGTGTTTCATCCTTTTGGTTTTGGCAGTTCATTTAGCAAAGTTGTGTTGGAGAGGGTGCTGCAGCGCACACCGAACAGGAAGAACGTCTCCATTGTCTCATCTGAATTTGGCCTACTTCTGCTTTTAATAACTTAGAGAAAGTATTTTAAGCATGTTTTTGCCCCCAGGGTTCATCTTCTGACTAAGTGGTTTTCAGACATGAACCCTGCAGTCTGCTGAAAGGGGTTTGGAACAAACCAACTGTTTTTTAGGTATCTTCTCTGAAAGGTAGTTACCTGCTTTCTCTGTGCGCTCCCTGCCAGCCCCTTGCTGTTTGCCACACAACCCGGGGAAGACTGGCAGAAGTGTCTGCTGGGAAGATAGAGGAAGATAATGATATGTTCTATGTTTACTATTTTAACTGAATGTAAACTATACCGTGCCTATGTTTGTGCTTACCAAATCATAGACCTTAATTTAGAAAGGAAGTGTTTTCACCACACTGTCGTTCATCTCAACTCTCAGAAAATTGGGAAATTGCTTATTCATGCTACAGTAGGTCTGTAAGGAGCATTTATGACTGCCAGGGTTTTAAGCTGTCAGTCATACCTTTTCTTTTAATTCGGAACCTTCACAAATCCATGCATTGCCTATAGGGTATGCCAGCCTTTTCTGTTGTGAATATGAATTGGCAGAAGGAAGTCTTCTGTATGTATATAGTCTGCCCTTGTGCTACTTTCAGGTGTCTGTTAAAGGATCACAATGAAGATAAAGGAAAGGATATCTTTCATGGGACTCAATTAGTTTTGTGTTTGTTGAATAGAAGCATTAGTTGATCATCTTTAATAATGTTTCCCCAATGCTGATGCAACACATCAAAGATGTTTTGTGACTGGGCATCATATACCTCATAGTATTTGTAACCTCTATATGCATACAGAACCAAGTATTTCAGAAGTAGGACTAATAATTTTCTCTACCTTAGAGATGTTGCTTTTTAAAGGTGTTTTCTGTATCCTAGAGACATGCACTATGCCTTCACGTGCTGGTTCCTGCTCATCTCACATGCAGTATGGTGAGGAGGAGTCAGGGGGTGGGGGAGATAAAAAATGAAGCCTTCTGAAATATAATTTGTTCCTTCAAATGTCCAGGATTTTGATGTTGTGTAACCAGTCAAGGTGGTGGATGTGGTTTCCGTGTTTGGTCCTTTATGTGGGTTTAGGGAAAGAATAGCCAAAAACTGATGGCCCGGAGAACTGACTCCTGGCAAAAAACTGCTAGCTATAAAATGGGTATGTTCCTAGGCAGTACGAATGGGAGCACAACTATATGAGACAGGTAAGGGTAGCTACAATCTGAACAGACTCTAAAGGGCATATATAACTGAGACGGGAGTAGACAAAAAAGAGGTATTTTGTCTGAGGCAGTTTCAAACACTTTGGATTGTAGAGAAGCAAATACATGAGACTAAAGGGGTACAGTGGGTAGGGCAAGTGATGTCCCAGGTGAGGATAAAGCTAGTCCTAGCAATAGTGAGAAACATTTATGATTATAGTAGAAGGAGGAGTAGGATTTTGTAGCTACTTAACACATTGCAAGCTATACAACATAAATTATGTATTAACAATATGCAGCTAACTGCCATTCACACTGAAAACAATTTTAGAAACATTTGCTGCTGAATTATATAACCTAGCTTTCCTTTCCATTACATTTTATCTGCCTTTTTGATGCCAAACCAAATAAAGATAAACATGCTATTTGATTTTGGCTTGCCTAATTACATAAACAAATATTGCACATGCTTTTTGGGTTTACCATAGGAAAAATAGAAGTGAAAAACCTGTGTTCAAGAATATCTGTTTTTAAACTGGTAAAGATTTGAAACTAATCTATAGGTGAATACCCTAACTTTTCAGAATCACAAATGTAACCTATGACTGCCCATTCTTTTCTGCCAACTTTTGGTCTGTTAAGACTGAATGAAATTTAATTTGGTTACCAAGGCAGTGGGTAAAGAAAAAAATGTTCTTTCTTGGTTCTTTTTAAATTCCACTTTATTTACTTGATTTGATCATTATTGTTTTATATACTTCATATAACGCAAAATGTTGTGGATGCATAATTATACATGTTATCTTTTGCTGCAGATTAATTTGATGACTAGCTAGCATTTTTAAAAGCACCTTAGTAAATCCCTGAGTGCATGCAATTGTTAATAAGTTTCTATATTCTGTCTTTGCCAGTATTCAAAAAATAATGATCCTAAATTGTTTATTTGTACATTTTGTAGAACTCCACGTGGTTTTCAGTCAGCCAAAACTGGTTTGGCTATCCATTGTTAAGCAGGTTCTTCCATTTTGTGAGAACAGAACAATATGTGAAGTATTTTTTTCTGTGAAGAAAACTCATGGAAAGTTAAGATCTCAATGCTAATGCACAAAATAAACTTTTTGTTATGTTCTTAGGACATGGTTAGTCACCCCAGCTCACTAAGTTGTCATGGGAAACTGAGTCTGACCAGTGCTACGCTCTTCTCATGGCGTAACTCTTCTCTTGTAACCCAAACCAGGATGAAATCCTGGATGGAGATACTTATTTGCTCATTCTAGAAAATTTAGTGTATTTTATACTGGGGGGGAGGAAAAAAGCTTTTTCCTGAACTGCTTTTCAGGACAGTATTTAACTAGTTTTTAAATATTTTGTACTTTAGACAATGACGTAAGAAGTGTCGAGGAGTATCTGCTTTCTTCCTTTGGAAGTCTGGATTTGAACCTGACTTGGGGAAAAAAGAATCATGATTTCTTAAACTAAGAAGAAGTCTTCTTAAGACCAAAGAGTTTTGTTTAATCGTCTGTGTCCAGTAGATGTTCACAGTACTGCTAAGTATGAGAGGTCACTTTATTCCCTGTTTTTTTATGCTCAGTGACAGGTGTTTCTTTCCTCCAGGTAACTTAAGCAATAAACTTCAACAGTACTGAATGGTACAGAGAGTTTAATTTTAAGGTATCTGTTACCTTTTCCTTTACATTCCTAACATCTGCCGATGGCACCCAACCAGCATTCCGCATGCTGCATCTGTAGGGATGAAAATATTTGTGCTATATATTTTTGCATGTGTAATTTACATCCCTCACCACTGAAGTGTTCTGTAGTCTTCCACAAAATACTTCTGGCACTTTTACATGCAAAAAACACACTTTGGGTGTCCTAGACAGATGAGTGTCCTATTGGGACTTTAATCTATTGATACAGAACAATGAGATCATTTAACCTGCGTTTTCAGATCACTAATATACTAATCTTTATATTACCATGACTGATCCAGACTAAACTTTTTTGTCTTTGAAATTTGGACTATTGCTGAGGCCTGCCTTTTGCTCTTCTGTCCTCAGTGTATGATCTGTAAATGAAGTTGATATTTCATACCTCAGTCCTTTGGATGCACTACATGTTTTGTTAATTTGGACTGAAAACACTTTGGAACAGTATGTCTCATTAGAAGTAGACTACGTATTTTAACCAGTCATTTTCAAGCTAAGTTAGAGTGAAGTTATTTCTTTGTCCTGGTTTGGGGTGGAACAGAACCAACTTTCTTTTCAGTGAGAGAGGCTCTTGCTTATACTTGTTGCTGTGACAGCCAGGGTCAGCTGACTTGGAGGGTTTGCACCTCTGGGGAGGAGTGGACAGGGCAGGTGACCCAGACTGACCAATATAGTGTATTCTGTCCCATCTGCCATGCTTAGTATAAAAGCTGAGGGACCAAAGAGGTCAAGGTTGGCTCCTCTTCTTTGGCTCCTCTTCAAGGATTCTTCTT